TGCTGGCTTCTTCTGGGGTGCCTTCCTCCTTAATTTTATTCAATACGTTCCATCATTGATTGTTTTATTGTTGATGAACTTTATTGTCATGATACCTGCTTGGTTTTATCTTGATAGAGATTTGGCTGTATCCAAGTCAAAGAAAAAATTAACTTTGAAACAAATCTTTTTCAAAGGAAGAGATGTAAACATACTATCTATTGCTAGAATGTTTTTGTTTGGATCACGTGATTTATGGTTTGAAGTTCCATTACCATTATTTATACGTGGACCTTCAATTGGCTGGTATGTAGAATAAATTTTATATAAAGAAAAATAATGATGATGGTGATGATGATGATAATAATAATAATAATATCTACCCTAATATACAGGTCATATATTCCAACTGGAGCATTCCTTGCAGGATGGGTGATATTTTACGGATTTATACAATCAAGTACTCCGCAACTAATTTTAAAACCAATTAAACAATATCCATTAAAAAGTGGCAAAATCTTAGTCCCGTCAACACTTTTTCTACTACTATTATCAATTGGTGTAGCCATCGGATTAACTGTAGTCCAACTATCTCTATCCACCACATCAAGCTATGTTCCATTATTGGTGCTATTATTGGTTGGGTTATTTCTATTTGCATTTATATTTGCAATAAATTCATCAATACACTCGTTTTTGATATTGGCATATTGTAAACGTGACAAAGTGGCAATAAATGTAGGATTTTATTATATGGCAAATGCTCTTGGTAGATTGTTGGGTTTAATTATTGGGGGGATTTTGTTTTATTATTTAGATTTCTATGCTTGTTTATGGGCATCTGTTGTGTCCTTAATTTTTTGTGTTATGGTTTCTCATTTCTTGGGACCAATTCCTCAATCAGATGAAAATGAATCTTAAAATTTTATATATTAATGTCTCTGAATAATTAAATATTACAAAATAATAGATAAAGATAAAAATAATATGACATACATTTATTTCATTTTCTGTTCTTATTAAATAATTCCTCTTTATTCATTTCCAATAATTCTGATTCACATATTTCACTTTGTTACTTTATTTGTAGCAAAAGTAAAAAAATTCCAAATTGATCAAGTTTAAAAAATTGGGAGAATACTCAGTAATACACCCTTAACCCATAAAGTAGACGCTGAGCATTTGTCTCCAGAAGAGCAAACAATTATTACATATATAAAAACATAAAAAAATTAGTGCTTCTTTCTAAAGTATATTGGGAATATAAAGAGGAATAATATTAGTAATATCCATTCATTATTAACACTACAGTAATGTTCAGAAAAACAATAAATGCCACAATTCTGACATGCATAAATTTCCAAAACCTTTATCGGATTATATGGAGCTGTTTCAATAGAAACGAGGACAACGTCAAAATGATGTTTTAAAAAAAAGGTCTGCGCTCAAGGGAGAATATCTCAAATTTTACTATGCAAAGCGGGTATGGCTTCTAAGCCAAAAACGTCCCACCTAAATAGTCACATATATGAATTGTATGAACTTAAATCATGTAGGATTTCTAACCGTAATCCTACTCCATATTCGAATATTTGTATAAACTCCAACAAACTATATTATTAATTTTTTCTTGTTCTTTAATTGATAAAGTTTCTTTTGGACATCATCAATTTGATTGTTCATTTCAAGCCATATCAAAAAATTATTTAATAAATTATATCATCATACAAATCAAAAAAATTACCATCATTTTTTATCAGGTGTAAGAATATTATGACATTTTAAAAATGATTTATACAATTGGTAGTTTCTGAAGTATTAGGAAAAAATTTTCCAAATTCCATTTGGGTTTTGGAAGAATTATTTTTTAAATGAAAATGTTTTCTGAACAAATTTTTTAATCGTTGTAAAAATATGAGCACTATTTGTTACCAAATGATAATCAATCCATTTGTTAGTAAATGATATTCAAAATAATCACGAGTGTATCCAAGTGTGTGCCTTTTTTTTTTCGATCACATCTGAAATTTGTCACCAAAATATATTATTCTTTAATTAAACATCAATGCTAATAAAAAATATTATTTTTGGCCTGCCGTATTTTTATTAATTGAAAAATATAGAAAAAAAAATCATGTTTTTTATTGTAAGTTTTAATTATCGTAAGTTTATTTACCATAAGTTTTTTAAAGTTTATAGTAATAGTGAGAAAGTCATCGTACGAACTTTATTATTTAAATAAAAATCACCAGATTTTTTCAATAAGCAAATAACGTTTTTACCATTTAAAAAAAAAGGTTTTTTTCTTTTGGAAAAAAGATATGAATGCAAAATAATTTCCTCTGAATCAAAATAAAATGATAAAAAAACTTGCAATAAAAGAACATGATTTTTTTTTTCGAATTAATTTCTTTTTATATTAATAAAATACGGCAGGTCATCAAAAATATTATTCAAAAATAAAAAATTTTTTTATCCAAAAATAATTTTTTTATTAAAGATTTTTAAAACGCGAATTTAATTGTAATCCGTTGAAACAAGGCTTTTATACTGTACTATTATTGCTTTTGCTAATATTAGTATCTTCTTCATTCTCTATATCACCCTCATCCTCCGTTTTCTTTCTTTCTTCTAGGCTTTGTTTTTAATTTTTAGAAATTTTTTACAGAGCAATTCTTTTCTGGAAAATTTTGAGTCTGATTCAAATAATTGCTTGAGATCCTTCTGGATGTGAGTTGGTTTTATTTATTTTTTGTCTTGACTCTATGTTTCATCTATTTTTTTGATTTGCAAGTCTTATAGTGAAACAAGAAACCAAAAAAGAGCTCAAATAACAACCCATAAAAAGTTCATTGTTGAATGTAAACAATTTTTAAAACGTTATTATTGGGTGAAAATATTGTAAATATTTATTGACTTTGTTTTAAACAAAATAAGTTAGCTAACAATGATTATTAAAGGATTTGTAATTTGATTTTTTTTTTTTGCAAAGAATGGTCAACTGGTGATTTTTTTATAATGTTCAAATCCAAAATAGGATCAAGTGTGCTCATTACCTTATTTTGATTAAGGATACCGGCTGCAACTTTTGATGATGGTTGCTACCACCTTTGCGTCATATAAAAATGATTGCAATCACTGGTTGCAACCGTCTTTACGGCCATTTTGTTTTCTTTTTTGTATTGCGACATGGAACACTAATTTTGATGCCAATCAAGTAAAAACAGATATTTTAACAAGAAGAAAGAGAGGCTGAATATCGTCAACATAAAAGACAACAAAAAAGACATGAGCAACTACAGCAACTACACCAACAACAACACCAACAAAAAACAGAATATGATGGATAAAACAAAGAAGAAACAATGATGATGATGATAATGAATTACAAGTATCATCAAAAAAGAAAAAAAGAATATATTTTATCATAATCACACCACCATTATATTTATTTATTTAAAAGACCTTGTTTTATTTGAAAAAATATTTTATAATTATATATTTATTTATCAAAATGTTCAATCTAAATTGAAAACCATTTCCGAGGTCACCTGACTAGACTTGTGTTTTTTAATATAACAAGTTTTAAACTGAGATGCAACAATATTTCTTTCTCCAACAACATTGCAATTCGAAAAAATAAAATTTATTATCGTGAACAGTTTTGGAATTGACGAATATATATACACAGTGAGTCTCGGTATAGCGGATTTGGGTTTTAGCGGATAAATTTTCAAAACCAAATTTTTCTATAACAATTTTATCTCGGTTTAACGGATTTAACGGATTTTTCATATAATAATAAAATAAAAACCAATAACGGATAAAAAGAATAAAACTCTAATAAATTATTACCTTTACAGTATTAATATTAATATTAACAATACATAAACGTGTCACCATTCTGTAATTCCATCTATATTTTATATAAACAATAGATTTAAGGCGTGTGGTAATGTGAAATTGATTCAAAAAAATATTTAAATCTTAGAAATATTATTACAAGTTAAAAAACTAACTACATATTAATATATATAAAAATCTAGGGGTTACAAAAATCCAATTCACTGTCGAATCAGCATGAAATCGAATAAAATGATAAAACAAACAAAATTGAGTTGTGAATGAACTTTATTATAATTGCAAAAATACATCAGTTACAATAAATGTAAAAAAAGAATAATAAAATTATTTAATTCGGAATTAGCAACAACAATATATTTATTGCTTGGTGATTTATTAATTATATTAAAGAGAGAAAAATATCCTTTTTATAAATTGGTGTTTCTATTCATTATACAAATTCTTCAATCCTTGTAAGGATCTTCTTCATAAGGTAAATTCATCTGGTATATCTTCAAATAAAACTTTTCAAGAAAAATGAAATCTTCTTTTTTAATTAATTCCTCTCCTATTGATCTAGGTTTTTGAAAGATGAATTCAATCTCTTCATCTTCAGTCAATCCTCGGAGATTGCAACTTCTTTTTATATGACCCTTATTTCCACACGAATAACAAACTTTATTTTTGTGAGGATTCCTGGTTGGTTCTACTGATTGATAATGTAGCTGGAATAATTGTTGGGGATTTCCGTATAAATATTTGGAAACTATATAGGTCAATTAATTGTGGATCTTTAATTCTTCCTTCAAGAATTTTTTTATAAACACAAGTAAAAATTTCTGATTTAATGAATTCTGAATTCTGTTCTTTTAATTGCATTTATAATTTTCAAATAAAGTAGAGTAGTAAAAAAATTGTGAAAGATAAAGATAAGAAATGAAATGAAATAAAATAAAGAATATGAAATCAGGATGAAATAATTACTAACATCTGAAATAATTACAAATATCCAAAATAATTTTGATTTAACAAATATTCAAATAGGGTAGGATTATAGATAGATCAAATACTGGAGTCTATGTTTAGTCATTAAAACCTTTTGAAACCTTTTATGAATTTAACAGCTCTTATCCATGATATGAAATTTAATCATGATACACAAATATTAAAAATTCTAGTCATTCAATTAAAAATGGTAACACTGTATTTATCTTAATTATTGATTATAATTTTAATATATATTTATTTTATATATATAAATATACATTCTCATTTACCATCTCTTAATGCATTTCCAAATTGGCCAACTTTTCCAACTTTTCCAACTCCATTAAGTTATATTCAATGTTTTGATTTTTCACCTACTAGTGGTTATTTAACAGTTGCAATGATAAAGTCAAAGTTTTTTATGCAGGTTAAAGGATTATCCAATTTCTTAAAAAATTATTATTATTATAATTTTATTAGATAAATATAACTCTTGTCCAAGATCAAGAATAATATCCAACTAAATAAATTTTTTTTTTTGATGTCCAATACTGGTTTTACTAAATTGGCTTTTTGCCACCAAAAGTGGCAGATTCCTACCCATAAGATATAATTTGTTTCGATATTCATTTAAAACTTTTGTGCCAGAATATTTTAACAATTGTCTTGCAAAAATAAAACCAGTCATGTATGCATCAAAATGTGCAGAATGATAAGTGTCAAACTGATCGGGTTTTGTTGAAGGTAATAAGGTTGGAGGCATAGATACAGATACATGTTCTGTTGTAATTATTGATGATGATGATGATGATGATGATGATGATGATGTGCCATCAGGTTCTTTTGGCAAATTTCCTTCTTGTTGATTTTTGTCAATTTTATGACGCTTTCGCTTATTTTCAAATTCCCTTGCTTGTTCATCCAAAATAAAGTCTAAATCATGTGATTTTCCACATCTCATTCTTTGTGAACAAAATCCATGCAACTATCATATCCAGGAAAAAATTTTTTTTTTGAATATTTTAACATTTTATATAATTTCACAAAATAATAATCTAATGTTACCGCATATTGTTCACAATATGAATTTCCTTGAGATCGTTTGGATGGTTTATTTTGAAAGTTAGATATTTTTGCAAGCTCAAATTGTTCAGACTTCAAAATTTCAACAGTAGTAGATGGCAATACAATACAATCATGTATTCGTAACAATAAGTAGTCTTTATTACCAGAAGCTTTTCGTTCCACTTGTTCTCTTTCATATCTTTAATAAACATAATAATTTGATGCATTAATTAATCATGATCTATTGTAAATATAAATATATATATTATTTAAAGAAAAAACCTACTTTCTAAATAAATATGACAAAAAACTACTTTTCTCTCTTGTAATATAATCAGCTATATATTTTGTATCAAATATTCCACCAGAAAACATTTCATTTAAATCAGCTACAAAAGTATTCAAATTATCTGGCAAATTTTCATAAAATGAATAATATAAATAGATCAAATCAAGAAATCCATTATGAACTATAATTGGCACATTACGAGAAATAATGTGAGAAAATATAGAACGCAAAATTGCATTTGAATCATTGGCATCATGTTGCTAGAAAATATAAACATCAAAAATTTCAGATTATCTCATTATATATAATGCATAAAGAAAGATATGTACAAAGAAAAAAGATTATTTACTTGATCTTTTCCAGGGAAGTATGGGATTCCTTTACGAATTTGTTTATTAAAATCAAATCCAGTATCAGATAAAAAAGCCAAACTCTGTGGACTTATAATATGATCGACCTAGTTCATTATAATTATTAATCCTGAACATCTATTTATTTGATAAATGAATGATAAATGAAAGTACTTACTTGACTCAACAAGGTAAAATTAAAATTATAAACATTATATTGTTTCTCTAATGGTGATGTTGTTTCTTCTTTTTCAACAATTTCCTCAAAAACTGTAACACCAAATGCTACCAAAGCATGTGACTTTACTACTTTAGATAAATTAATATACCGTTCTTCGATGTTTCTAGGAAAAAAATTGTTATTTATTTTTAAGATAATTGAAAAATATTTTCAAATTACTCACGATGCTTTGGTATTGGACTCTTTATTGCCTAAGCCAGTAAACTCTGTATCTAATGCTATGAAGCTTGCACAATTTAAAGTTTGTTTTATTTTTAATTGGTGCGAAGAAAGGTTTTCCTTTGTGATATCCTACAGTAATCAAAAATGGAGTTTTTATTTTAGGTTTAAAGCCCAAAGTAACAAGCATTGAATTTAATCAATTCTTACACACGTTATAAGCTGGCGGTTGAATTTGCATGTTAATAATATATTATTTTTAAAGATAAAAATTTGCAAAAATCTATTTTGGTAAGATTTTCTCAAGGAATGTAACAAACATTAGTATTACCAAGGATTTCAGGGATCAAAATTCAGTAATGCGATTATTATTAACAATTTTCTTAATTGATATATATATAGAATCACTCCTATATAAAAATAATTAAACTCATTTATATCAGATCCACTCAAGAATTATAATACTATCAGAAGTATTTTGAAGAAAGAACAAAGTGAAAAATTGCCCCTTATATTTTCAAAATAAATGATACTCACTCAGTCATTTGAAAACTTATTTAAGGAAAGAAAGGACTACCTATGAAATTTACCAAGAGTAAAGAAAAATAATAGATGTCAGAAAAAGAAAACAAAATGAAAGTGTACTATTACCTAACAAAAAGCAAAAATCTTCAGAAGGAAAATAATCTAATTGTTACAATATTGATTTATCTTATTTTTTTATTATATACAAAGAAACTTCTTTATGCAAATGTGATCATATTGCATCACTTATCAGTAAAAAAAAAGTTTGCATGAACTTTACATCCAAGAACACAAATCTTTGTTTTTTCTCATTGACATTGGAATGAGGTAAATAGTCCTGCCTTCTATTGGAATGTTATAAAAGCATCACCGGTTCACTTATTTTCAGGTAAAAAAAAATTCAAATAACAACTCCTAGTAATCATCATTAAACATAATTTTATTTTTTGGTTCAAAAAACAATCAATAAGTATTTATATAATATTTTCATCCATAATAACATTTAAAAAAATGTTTACATTCAATAATGAAATTTTTTATGGATTACTAATTGGACTGTTCTTGGCTTCTTACTTCATTGTAAAACTTATAAAAATCAACTTTCTATTATAATCAAAAAATTGATAAAATAGAACCAAGAAAAGGCCATTTTAAAAATAAATTACTGGTGATAAAAAATGTTCACATTAAATTGAAAATATATGGAAGGACTTCAAACAATTATTTAATAAAAAGATTGGATTGAATCCTATTTTTCCTTTAATGGAACAGTCATTAAAATTCATGAATTACTTGGAGAGAAAAAAACTTCTACCAACAAAAAACCAATCCCAGAAAGAAACAATAGAAGCAATTCAGCAATGGTTGAAAGGAAAAGAAAAAATAGACAGATAATGAAGCTGAAGAAGATAATAAAAATAACAAAAATATAAATATTTAGTAATAATGATAATGATATTGATAATAATAGCAGTAGTAATACAGTCAGGGAATATGTGGTTTGAAAAGTTTTGTCACTGGCCCTGTAAAATGACAATCTTATGTGTAACTTTGTACACAGTAAATCTCGATTTAACAGATAGTTTGGGCAATTAGGGAAAATTTTCCAAAAATCCGTTAAACTGAGATATCTGCTATATCAAGAAGGTTTTTATTAAGGTTTATTATGAAACCATTCTTTGAACTTTATCCGTAAAACCGAGATTTTTAATTAGTATCTGCTAAATCAAGATTCACTGTGTACATATTTTTTTTAAATGAAAATAGTCGTTTTTGTCTATTAAATAAAAAAAAAATTATTAAACTTTGTTCATTAATTATAAAGCTATTGACATTTAAAAATTTGCTAAACAAATGGAAAATTTTAATCGTGAACATCAACGTTATTACATTTTTGTAAGCTGGAAAAATGGTAAGAGTGCGAATCAAATTCATATGGAATTGCAGTTGCTGAAGGACCTAAAGCACTAAGTATTTGTAGTATTTATCACTGGATTGAATCATTTGAAAGTGGTGATGAAAACATTAAAGATGATTCACGTCCTGGACGCCCAAAAGAAATTTTCACCCCAAAAAATGTTGCAGAAATTGAAGAACTCATTGTTGAAGACCCACATATATCAATGAAAACATTAGAGGA